GCTGTTACGCAAAAACCGCGATAGAGTGAAGCCACGGAAGTCGAAGCGCGAAGTGGCGAGGGTTCACTGTATTGTAGATTTAGTAATAAGGCCTTTGTCTGATATGTCATTGCTAAAGATGTTTTCCCAGTCTGTGGGCTCTCTTGGTGAATTCTTTCAATGTACACAAGTGTTTTATCTTCAGTATATCCCATTTGTCAATTTGTGATTCCTCTGTTTTTGTATCCTTCCCTATTTCTAATAGCCTGTGTGCCAAGGTTCTCAGGTTTGTCCCAATTCCCCTATAAAAGGCCCTCATAGTTTATGGTTTTACCTCAAGGTCTGTAATCCACCTTGAGTTTATTCTTGTGCATGGAGTAAGGTAAGGGTTTCGCTTCATTTTTCTGCAGTTAGATATCCATTTTTCCCAGGATCACTTGTTGAAGAGGAACATTTGATATTTGATATTTCACATTTGATATTTTTGGGGCCCTTATCAAAGATCAGTTGTCTGTATGCTGATCATTTTATTTCTGGGTTTTCAGCTCTTTTCCATTGGTCTGAGTATCTGCCGTTATACCAGTACCACACTGTTTTGACCACTGTGGCTGTATAATAGGTGCTAAAGTCAGATAAAGCAAGCTCTCCCACTTTGTCCTTCTTGAGGAGTTCTCTGCTAATTCAGGGCTTCGTCCCTCTCCTTATGAAGTTGATAGTTTTCCCAGTTCTTTGAAGAAAGAGGACCCCATCCTTGTTTCAAAAGCGCATTCTGACTGTACTTTTTTCCAAGACAGATTTGTTTCTTCTTTTGGCAGTCCATGGTACTTTCAATATTCTTTGCCAGCATCATATTTCAAATTCATCAATTCTTCAGTCTGACTTATTCAATTTCCAATTTTCACATGCATATGAGGCAACTGAAAATACTGTGACTTGGGTTAGGTGCACTTTAGTCCTCAAAGTGACATTCTTGCTCTTAAGTATTTTAAAGAGATCTTCTACAGAAAATTTGTTTACTTAAATGCATTATTTGATTTCTTGACTGTTGCTTCCATGAGTATTGATTGTGGATTCAAGCAAGATAAAATCTTTGACAACTTTAATCTTTCCTCCATTTATAGTGATGTTATCTATTGGTCCAGATGTGAGGGTTTTTGTTTTCTTTACAGGGTTGGAATAGACTGAGATTGCAGTGGATTTGTTTGTTTTACATTAAGTTGTGATCCATATTGAAGGCCGCAATCCTTGATCTTCATCAGCAAGTGCTTCAAGTCCTCCTCACTTTCAGCAAACATGATCATGCCATCTGCATATTGAAACTTGCTTATAAGCCCTACTCTAATATCTCTCTCTCTCTCTCTCTTAATTTCGTTTTTACTGAGATGGGTTGGGGAGCAACACTCCAGGGAATGTCCATTGCAATCTTCCTGAGTTGGTTTAAGTGTTTTTTCTTCTTTTTCTTGGCACTACTGCTCTTGCTGCTAGCAGCCTCCTGACATCCACTGCTAACTGGCTTTTCCTTGGAAGAGAGCTTCTTATTTTTCTTTGGGACATTTCTACTCTTTGCTTTAGGGAGAGATTTTGATTTCCTCTTGGGGATAGCTGTTTCTTCAAGATTACTATTATCCAATTCCTCCTTGAAAAAAAAAATCACTCTCTTGGGTTTGGGGAGAGCAGAGCTACATGGATCTTCCATTGTA